ACGCACGCACACGCACACACACACACACACACACACACACACACGCACACACGGACTCTGGCTCATGTATTATTCTGAATTGTCCTTGCTCTGAGCATTAGATGTCAGGCTCACCAAGGATTTCACTCTCTGGCTTCCCCACTCTCATGTTTTGTTATTTCTTGTTTGTTCCTTTAATAGATCTGTATGGCTTTCTGTTAAGCAAGTTCCAGTTAAACAAGGAAAGCTATTCACAGCTCCTGCTTCTCCCCTGCATGAGCTCTTCAGCTGGTCCTAGCAAATACCTTGCAATTTGGGGCCCATGCTGGGTTTCTGGGCTTCTGTGGATGTCTTTACCTAATTCTGGTCTTCTACACAGTTGCTGGGTTCATTAGTATTCACCTGACCATGAGTAGCCTCACACAGGCAGACTGCAGAGCTAATGGGCAATAAGATTCTTGTCTCTCATCCTCAAGTAGGCTAATTCAGGCTTGTTCAAGATGGACTTTGGGTTCTCAAGGACAGGAGAGAACAAACTCCATGTGCATGGTTTGTTCAAATTACTATTGTCTTCATCCTTTGCTCTCTTGTATCAGTCAAATAAGATTATGTGGCCAAGACTAGGGTCAACGTGGGCGAAAACCACAACTGCTGTGGATTCCAAGGGGCCACATTATCTTCTGGCTTTCACCCTTTCCTTGTCCATTCCTTCATCCATTCATTTTGTCACCCCCACAGTCTTTAGGAACATCTACTGTAATCAAAGCTGGGGACTCGGCACTAAGGACACAGAGAATTTTCCAGGGCTTGGAATTTATACTATGAGGCAGTCACTGAGACCAGCACATTCAGTAGAAATCAGGTTTACAAAGGTCCCAGGAGGTAGGGAGGGACTCTCTGCATTTGGCAGCATTTCAATAGAAGTTGCTTTTTGGTCACTCAGGATTGCTTGTCAACATCCCTGGTTACCTAAGATTACCTATCAATAGCTTTTTCCCCATAAGAGTAACCCAGAACTGAAATCCAAAAGAAGAAGAAAAAAGTCAAACTTTTTAAGAATATATTTTTTAACATTTTAATTAGGAAAAAAATCACCTTTGTTTGCTCATATAACTATCTAAAAGTCAAAGGTAGGCACCAGGTGGGCATGGCAACAATGTAATCCTGAGGCCCCTCCAATGGGAATGACAACAGTGTAATTCTGGAGAACTCAAACTGTTGATTTGTTTATAGAAATAGCTGATTGTGAGTTTGAATCTAAGCTTGTAAAAATTACATAAACCGAAAGTCCAAAAAAATGCTTTTCAAAAGAACTCATGAAAAGTTTCCATTTTAAGGGAATTTCTTGTTCTCTGCTATGAGGACAGATACATGAGGGAGAAGCCCAGTCTCTCTTGGGGGGAGGGGGACAGAGTGGGGCTTCATTTTCTCACAAAAGGCGCAATGTGAAGGGCATCTGTGAGCACTGCATAATTTGTTATGTTCTACAAAGAGGTGGGTTTTTGTTATACACACACCAGAGCTGTTCGGCACTGCTTCACCCATGGTCTCTATTCATAGAAACCTGTCTTCAAAAAGTGAAAGGAAAGTAAAATGTTCTTTAAAAATTAGGTGCAGATTACCACTTAAAAATGCAGGAGGGGATCTTACAAGTGATGGTGTGGGGATTAGCTTTGCAATGGACATCCGATCCTTTATAAAAAAAAAAAAAGAAAAAAGAAAAAAAACGCATACTAGCGGTGGTCAACTGTGACAAATGTGGTTTATTACTCCCTGAACTGAACTGTGACTACCCATCTAATGTAAATGAGGAATGTTGGGTGAACTTGAACTGCTTCTTGGACATGAATGACCAGAAAATTTATTTGAAGAGGCATTAAAGGCTAAATATGGGAACTGTCTCTTTGATGGTTTGATATGATCAGTTCTTTAGTTCATTAACATGTCTTTCATAATTCTGTTATTACTTTTTTCTGGTAATTGCATAGCAACCTAAACGAAAAGGCAAAAGCAAAAGAAGTTTATGTACAATAGTTTAAAAATAATATCAACCTTATATTTAGTGGTAAATATTCATGTTTTTATATAGTTAACTCTTTGAAAGTGCTTTCAAGTACAAAAAGGAATAAGCTTATGAAAATATGGGTACATTCACTGTTCAATGTTCCACTCTCTGGATGACTTTTTAAATGTCTTCTTTTTTTCAATAAGAAAAAAGGGCTTCCTGAAATGGGCTTATTATTCACCAAACCATTTCCCTACTGGTAACTAGGCTGCATGAACTCTCACTGGGGGCATATCCTTGGTAACCCTAACAGTATGTAGGCAAGGTACCATGATACTGCAACATTTTCAAATCTTCTTATATGTCTACTCACATTTAAGATAAGTGATGCTTTATCCCCAATAACTAATGCTAAGGTATAATTTGTATGCATGTGTGTGTTTGTGTATGTGTGTGGGGGGGGTGTATTTAAATATTATCTTTTAAATTATCCACAGAAACTCTAAGAATAAATTTTAAAATCATGTTTCATGTTACTAGTGACTCTTTAAATGGAATTTCTTGTTGAATCTTTGTCATTAAAACAGAAAGACCTTTTAGTTGTGTCCATACAAGCATAATAAATTGTATATGTTTGTGATACTGAATGACTCTTGCCCATATGCTCCACTGCAAAGCTACATGAATGAGGCATTTACCAAATCAGGCCCACCACATTAAACAGAAAAACAATCTTTATCCATGGTAACTTATCAGTTTCAATTAATCAACCTTAACAATGGAAATTCTGATGTGTTCAAGCAACTTGAAAGCAATAGGTCATCTCCAGGGCAGCCATGTTGTGTCTTTGTGCCTATGGTTTCGAACAAAGCAACATCTCTGTAAATAGACATACATATACATACATGTGCATATATATATACATACATATGGACAGTTAGTTACAGCTATGCTGTACAGTGTCAACAAAAATGCATGTGGATTATATATGATTTTTTATCATGGCAAATGCAATTGTCTACTGAGTATTACTTTTTGAGCTCTCCAAGTTTAAACAAAAGGAAAGAAATCTCCATTGGATGACCATCCTTTCAGTTTCTGTGCTGCTATGTGAATAGCATTGTGCAAACCATTCCAATGGTTTTGAAAAGGGGTAACCATTGGTTTGATTTGGTTACACGGTTTAGTAAAGAGCTCCCTCCCACTGCCTTAGGGTCTGTGAAAGGTCTGTGACCTGTTTAGAACTGCCAAGTGAAATGTCATGTCGCCCCTCCCAAAAGGGAGTATCTGCATTCATTTGATCAGTATAAAAAATGATTGGGGATGGTGAGATCACTGCTTTTGAATTGCAATTTATAGCAGTTTACAAAAATGCACATTGTTGGAAAAGAAAACATGGAAGTGTTTCTTTCTAAATTGCATTACCTGTGAAATGTCATTAGTCTTTTAAGGATATTTACATCTCTTTTTTTTATTATTTGAGAGACCTGTGTTAATTAAAGAAAACCAGAATTTCAGAATATTATGGGTTTTCTTAGCTTATATTTTTGTCTTACTAGTAGAATTTATTGGGGGAATGCATCTGTGTTGGAGTTCTTAGGGAAAACAGAAGTTCTTATCATGTCCATTTACTAATCCCAGGACATAATCTTTGCTAATGAGATGCATTAGAAAATCCCCAATTATCTTTCACAGAAAGTAAGAGAGATTATGTGGGAAAATGCCTTGCTTGCTGATGTCTAACAAAGAGACTGAAATCTCTGACTTGCTTAGCTCCACCAATTCCCATTATTCTGTTAACATTTTAAGAAGTCTTTTTGTTAGGTGGCTGTTTTCAAAACTATGGTACCCATGGATGTAGACATGTAGCTTCATCCTCATCTTCTATACATAGTTTGACCAAAGGTAATCTGTGTGAAAGAATATGCTAAGAAAAGGTTAGGTAGGTTGTTCCAGCTCATAAACACTGTTGCAGCCCCCTGAGGCTTCTGGGTGCAGAACCTGGTACTTTTTACACTGTCCTCACAAATCTAGAGAGTTCCGTTTTTGCATCTTAGAGTGTACAATTGTTTTGAAAAAAATCTTTGAGACAGAAAAATTACCTTAGGAAAGGCCCATTGGGTTACTCTCCTTGGTAGTTGGCTAGAAAAAGAAAGGCCTTTCTCAGAAGAGATTTGACCCACACAGACTTGGAAACACCCTGCTATGAACCTTGCCACTATTGAAAATAGAGGTTGTCATGTTTTTATCTTTGTTCATGTTGAGCCTTGGAGTGACAGCCTGGTTCTCTGTTCTGCTCTCCTACTGCCCAGTCTATAAGGGTCCACATTGACACCCACTGGTGACCATGACTGCAAGGCATTGTTGCCTTCTCCTGGCTTTCACTGAGCTCAGTTCCAGACCTTTGCCCCCTTCAGAGCTGGAACATTTTTGTTGTGGCTTTCCTGTCTCAGACCCCTCAGAACCTGACTCCCAATTTACACACCAGGTAAAAACCCCTCCCTGCAGAGCAGAATCTCACCTAAGGGAGGTTAGATTCCAGGTCCCCTGCCTCAGTGGTCCTTCTTCAGTTTTCCTTCCTCCCATTCCTAACTTTCTATCTCACACAGAGGGGAATTGGAACACGAATGTTAAACTACTGTAAGTAAATTTCAGTGCTGAATCTCCAGATCCAGAGGTCTGTCTCCACTACCCTACCCAGGTTTTCCATTCTCATTATAAGAGAAGAACTGGCCGCGGTCACAGGCAGCTAAGACCATCTATCTCTACAGCCTGGGGCTGCAGGAAAGCTGTCACAGAATAAAACTTGACTGCCACAGCCTATTTTGAAGCCCAAGGATGATCTGCCCCCCCACCTGCTTACCTAAGGACCATTTACATTCCTGGTGACTTTAAAATCCCTCAGTTGGGCAAGGACCATTTTAAAATGTGGTGCAGGGAGAGTGAGGGGATCGGTAGGGTAAAATGAGGCTGGTAAAAGAAAAATTCATGTCTGTTTATCTTTTCTCGTTTCTAGTGAGATTTGCATCTCAGAAAGAGAAAGCATCCCTGCCCCAGCACACCCCTGGGAGACAAGCAGACCCACATAATTAAAGGCACAGCAACCTGGGTACCACAGAGCCAGCCTCAGATGAAGATGCTCCTCATCCTGGCTGGCGTGAGACTTGCTCACCCCTGGCAAGCGATACTGTCTCCAAGATGTTTCTAAACTGGCCATTCAGCTTCTTCTCATCACGTACAGGAAGCGATCCCCGCCTTTGGTGGACCTGTGTTTGCGCGCCTTTGCGCGCACTTTCTGAAGCCCATCGGAAACCCTGCCGGGTAAAATTCCAGGGCATCCTTTCTGGAGTTCAGAGGGATGCCCCAGTGCCTAAGGGTGAGAAAGAAGGGATTTCAATAATAATAATAATAAATAAAAATTGAGGCCCTAAACTTGTTTAAGTCACCCTCTACCCCATCCCCCACCCCCTCCCAATGCATCCAGTCTCTTATTCAAAGCCAAGTCAACTTGCTTCCTTCTGGATCCACGGTCTAATGCCTACTGGTGAACATGAACTAGAAAGAGGTAAAGGGATTTTCATTTCCTGTGGGGAAGTGCACTTCGCCCTCATTTCCACACAGGGACCTTTAGAGGCATCCTAAAGGCAATCGATGATTATTTAGTAAGTGAAGAAACTCTTTGGAGTTTGCTTCTCGGTAAGGATGAAGACCAAGATTAATGTAAAATCACTCTGTCTGCAAACCAGGTGCCACTTACAGGCTGCTTCTCTCCCGTGCGTAATGGTCAACTGTGCCTTTTCTATTCCCTGAACTCCAAGGCGTACCTGATCCTAGGCTCTGTGCAACAAATTTCTAAGGCTACTTTCCAAGTCGCAAGCAATATATTTGGAGTAGCTGTCACATAAAGCTGGCATAGACTGGTCCAAAAAAAAAAAAAGCTTTCATAGGCGATTTATTTGTGCGTAAAAGGAACAAGATTTAATTGGAAAGAGACTTGTTATTTCGAACACTAGTACATGGGATGGCATGGCGCCGTGGAGCATTATTCGAGCTTCATCTACTGTGCACTATATGCCACCGCCTCCAAAGGAGTGTTGCCCTAGAAACTTGTTTTAAATCTCCTGCTATATATCAACACCTTGTTTTAGCAGTCCTTGGCTGAATTACAGTTACACAGTTTGGCGCTTCTTTCAAATTTCCTCCCATCAGTTTGGCTAAAGAAAGGAATTTTTCTCCTTTAGAAATGAATTGGCTTAATTAGTAAGTAGATTAATGGCAATTGCTGGTGAGTTGGTTTCCAGCAGAGTTTCACCAGAGAGGGTTAATCGGAGTCAGGTCTGGAATCTTTCCCAGAACTGGCTGCCAGCCATTCCCACCAACCAATCAACCCTTCAAGAAACAAGGAGATTACATAAAATTTAGATTGTCTGTGCCATTATCCTGGACCAAAATTCCAGGGAAGTGCCTCCTGGTTGGATGTAGTAAGACCTTCCATTTCAGAATTTTGCTGGGCATTCTTAACCTTTAAGATTTATCTGGGTTGCAAAGTGGAATTTCAAATGGCACAGTAAGTGTCACCACAGAGGCTGAGTGAATTGGAGACTTCAGAGAGTCTGGTCAACTTTGGATTTAGAGACCTTGAAGCCCCCTCCCAAGGCCAGCCCTAAATCTGTTACCCACCAGAGTGCTTTCAAAAGTTTTTGCTGTATGCTTTGCAGTCTTTTCACTCATTTTTTCCATAGTGATAAAAAAATGCATTCATAGTTTAACTTGCAGCTGCATTAGTCTTGCAAAAAAAAAATCCCTGCTGAGAAATGCATATAATAGGAAAAACAGATCAGTTGGACAGCAGTGTAATTAATGCCAGAAAGGGCTGAGGCCGGTTTCATAGTTTGTCTTTTGAGGATATCAAGACCAGACCTGGTGAAAAATGACGCATGCTTTAGCATTTCAGAAAGCTGGCAACTGGCAGGGCTTTTCCTTTTTTCTTTGACTTTCTGCCGAGGAACAAAGAGGTCGGCAGAACTAGCTAGGTTGTAATGAGTTCTATGTCCCTGGCACATTAAGTGCATCATGGAAACATATTGTATCGAAATAGTTTGGAGGAGAATACTGGGGATGAAAGAGAATGGGTGCTTTGATCAGCTCCCTGGGGTCCTGAGCGCGCACAGACTGACTTGCAAGGAGTCATTCAGCTCCAGCTAGACACACTTACAACACCATTCAAAGAAATTTGCATATCTGTAATTTATCACATTGGTCCAGAACATTATTGCAAGATAAATAAAAGTTAGTTGAATAAAAAAAATCAATCATTGCAGATATAGAGGAAACTGTGAAACCAATCCTGAGATTTAAAACAGAAATAATTATGCCCAGAAACATGGTGATTTTGAATTGACTTTAATTTTTTTACAGTAGCCTTAAAGCAACAGGTTATGCTTTGTCAAACAAACAACAACAAACCCCACAGGAATAGCCACAATTTCTGTGCCTTCCTACTTTATAGAAGTGTATTTGTAGCTTCCTACTAGAATAAAATGATAAAGTTGAACATGATGTGTGTGGCTGTAACCAGACCCTAACACACATAAAAATTAGTGCACACTGTGACAAGAGATGAGAGACGGCTTAATCTGCTCTGCATCTGCAAGGGGTGAGGTTAAATTCATTTTTCCTACTGTTGATCTTATTGCCTGTTTGCTGAACTTAACTCAAAAAGATGAAGTGTTCAGAGACCCAGTCAATAGGAAAGCCTGCTTTCCAATGTCCCATGAGAACAAGTGAAAATTTAACAGGCAGGCATTGTTCTGAGCTTTTAAACAACCCAGTTAAACAGCAAACAAGAATCTTCAACTTGACCTTGGAAAAGGCTGTGTGCCTACAGATAATCTATCAAACAACTTGGGATGACAATGATATATTTCAAAGTATTGTCAGATGAAAAGATTGATAAATTTGCTGCTGCACAGAGAGAACTTGGAAACAGCACCAGGCAATTTAACTTACCAACTCCCCCACCCCTCCTGCTTGGTCTCCCTTGTCCCATCCCTGCCCCTCCACCCCCAGTGCGCCCTGTGACCAGCCAGCTCTGGAGAAGGGGGCTAGTAAATCAGCACTGTAATACTTCTTACAGGGCACAGAAAAGCTGTGAACAGTACTTTTCATATTAAACGCAATATTTCTTTGCTTTCGTGGTGAACAAAAGTCATAGCAAGACGTCTTTGTGGCTAATTCAGTCAAAGGCACATCCCTGGTTCCCCCCGCAGAAAGGTCAGTGTCGTTGTGTTTGGTCCACCGAGGGGGTGTTTTCACACTGAAAACTAGCCAGCTGTCCCTGTCATACCCTCACCATTGGGGAGCACGCACTAGCCATGGCTATTAGGCACATTCTACACCTGCAAAATATACCGATTTCCAAGACTTTTCAAGACACCCTCCAGTTCTCATGCCCCCTCCTCTGTCTACTAAACTTTGACAACACAATTCAAGCCCTGGATGAAAGCCCCCCGCAAGCTAGAGGAGTGCTGGGGAGGGGCAGCTCCTGCTTCAGGGTGACTATTGAGCAGTCATCAAAGAAATGAGGCATCAACCATGTTTTCAAAAGTATGGAGAAACTTCCAAATAATTGCTGTGAGGAGTCACACGTTTGCTATTGCCACAAGTGCTAATTGGTGAGCCCTAATATTTAATTGTATGCACTTGTGCTCTTTATGGGGCTACAACCAAGCGTCCTTCATTTGGAAGTGGCTCGTTTTCAATTTTTCTATTCTTATTTCAGATCATTTAGTAGGATATGAATTTCTTCTGAGTTCATCCAGATCAAGGGCATGCCTAATTTTGTTTTTTTAATGTAATAGCTTGCTCAACTGGATTTCATAATAAAACTTCTAGAGATATCTCCTAGGTAGATTTATCACCCCAGTAGGTTTCCAATGTCTTTCTTATATTCCAGTTGTAGGTGACTAGCTCTTGGGGAGACGACCAGGTACTGAATCATGAAAGAAGCTAAAGGAACCTATGCAGCTGCTGGAGAGAAACTGCAAAATAGAAATAATTTTTTAAAATCTTTATGAGAGCCAATTCCCCTACGGATCGGTCCATCTAAGACAGGAGCGAGAATAAAACACTAGCTTTTTTTTCTTGGTTCTTATATACCAAAGAGTTCTATCTGGTTGCGGAGGAGAGGGAACTGCGGAAGTGATGGGGTGTGGATTAGCTGGTGCCTCTCTAATCCAGATCTTTGTCTATTCTTACTATCCAAAGTATAAAGAATTACATGAGCAGACCCTAGAAGAGGCAAGGTCCAAGGGTGTCCAGTTCACCTTGGGTTGCTGGGACACAGGCAGGGGTGAAGCATTCCGGGTATCAAGGGAGGAGAAGAGGGATGCTTCTCATTAGCAGAGAACAGGAAAGCCTGTCCTGGAAGCCGGGGGTCGCCACAGAAACCTGCCTCCCCCAAGCAAAGTGTCTGCGCCTCTCCAAAGCAAAGCCAACGCAACAGGTTGTTTGGAACTAATGCAGACACTCCAGGAAACCTGCTGGCACTAATCTGCGGGGATCATCCAGGGACCGAGCCTATCAGAACAGCAACGGTAGACCCCCAAGAGTAAGAAAATGGGGCCAGCTAAAACGTGTGCCCTGATCACTGTCGCCTCTAACACGGGCGCTGGAACCACCAAGCAAAACCAGCCAACCAACAACCTGCGCTCCTGGCCACCGGATTCCCAGCAGCCAGACTACCCGAGACTCCCCGCTGAGCCAGGGGGTGGTAGTGACCTGGGGCCTCTATAGAGGAAGCCTGGGGTCCCCATTAAGGGTCTCCTCCCGGCGGTTGGCCCCCAATTCGACTCGCCGCTTCCGGAATCTCCTCTTGGAGACTTCCATGCGCAAAGATAGCAGAACGGCGGAGAGCTGGTGCGGGACAGCAACTTCCAGCCTCCTGGGTGGGCAGACCACACCTGAACCCTGACTTTTCGGGTAGCCGGAGCTAGGCAGGCCTACTGGGCAACACCACCGACTCCTTCCCGGCTCTCCGGAACCCTGGAAATAGGCAAGAGCAGATGGGGCGCATGCGCGCCCACGGCCAGGGTCCCTCCCCAGCCGGCCGAGTTTGGGGAAAGTTTGGCGAGGTTTGCCTTGGCAGCGACGGTTGTCCCAAAGGCTGGGTTGCCCTGGATAGGAGGCCAGAAGCCCCCCCGGCGTCCCAGGAGCCGGTTTGGCAGGGGACCGAGGGCTGAAAAGCAGCAGAAGGTGGGAGAAGAAGGCCTTTTGTGTGTGGCACAGGAGTGTCACTTGCGCACAAACGCAGCGGCGCGCTCAGCCGCCGCCTCAGCCTCCTCCGCTGCACCTCCGCCTCCGAAGCGCTTCATTGCAGCCGAGCCGTTCCCCCGCCTCCCCCTGGCCCCGGCCTTTGTTCGGT